AGATGTCCAAGTAAATTTATGGATGTTACGATGTGGGAACATTGTACTTTTGACAGTAAGATTTTTTGATGTGGCAAAGTTTACTACTCTAACTCCATTATCATTACTAATTTCATGCAAACTCTAATTCTCAATTGTTGGTTTGAAAATGTCTTCCCTCCCTACTTTGGCATTGAAATCTCCTAACAAAGTTTTCATGGGGTACTTCGGGAATTTATCAAATACATGTTCTAGTTCTTCACAGAATCTATCCTTTATGTCATCAATTTTATCTTCTGTTGGGGTATGAACATTCATAACAATGATATCACACCAGCGACCTTTTAGTATTATATATGATATGCTATCACTAACGAACTCTACCCTCTTAACTGCTGATATGATTCTCTTATGTATGAAAAAACCTGTACCTAATTCATGATTTTCATTCCCCTTTCCATAGAAAAATGTATATTCGCCTGCTGGTGCGATGCCATCTTCATCCCATCTGGCCTCCTGTACTCCTGCTAAATCTAACTTACATTTTAAGATTTCTTCTGCCACTGCCCTGAGCGAACCTGCCCTGTACAAACTTCGTACATTCCATGTTCCAAATCTCATATCCGTTTTCATTAGCTTAGGTCGTTTATCCAAGGAATCAGTCCAGGTCCGAGGCTTTGTGTTCATTTTTGTAACATACTGATTTTTTGTGGTGAGGACTTGTTAGCCCCACGCCCAACCACCAAGCTGGAGGGCCACCCTTTGTTGGCTGTCCATGACTGCTTATTCAATATATTCACAGCTACCCTCCAAAACTGGAGGGCGTCTCCTCTATCCGCAACCTGAGGACGTGCACTGCCATGGTGACAGGGAACCACTTAACATGGAATCATTATTCACTAGTCAACTTATCATTTGATGCTATTTATCTGAGCTATGGATAGCACTGTAAAATTAACCATAAATAACAAAATATCAAAACTGAACAAATTCACTGCCTCCAGTGAGCTCAGAAAATTAATAAGCCATTAGATTACATGCGGACTCATAAATTCACAAATAGCTATGAAACAGTTCAACTATGCTATTCACAACAGAAACACACCAAGTGTCACACTTGAGACTAGTTACCAGTTCTGCTTTATATTGGGGTTAAAATCCTGGCCCGGAGACTAGCTATTCTGACCAATGTTTTCTATTTTTTAAGGCAAATTATCTATGAAGTTTATCCTGGTTGCCTGAATTCTCAATAATAAGGAGTTTACTGCATTTATACAAATATGGTAAAACGGGATGAGAAATAAGAACTTTGTTACACTGATACACTAATGCCACCTTTACTGTATTAAGCAGATTTGTAAATGTAAACATCCTACTGTAGTGTTTAACATGGTGAAAAATAAACAGTTTTAAAAATTTAAGTAACACTTAAATTAATTGGTCTATCACTCCAGGAAAGTATGGACTTACATGGACTGAAAAATGATTAAACTGTTAATAATAAAACAGGTCCTTGTTGACATGAAGATCAAATTAATTTAGGCATATTTTAAGCTGTCCTCCAAACATCAAGTTCAGAGACAGAAAAGACATTTGTTTTCAATTATGGGGACAGCACATATTGTGTAGCATCTCAGGATCTGTGAGGATAATTATGAAATGTACGAGGAGTGTTCCGTATATAATGCCTCATATTTTTTTAAAATGAAAACTACAACAGATACAGACAGCATAATAATGCAGTTAAATAGAGCAAAATTTCAGCTACTTACAGGTATTTTTCCTCATAATCACCACCATTCGTTATGCACTTTTGCCAGCAATGAACAAGAGCCTGTATGTCGTGCCTGTAAAAGTCTGCGCCAGCAGAGGCTAGCCACTTTCTTACAGTTGAAATGACAGCATCACTGTCTGGAAAATGTTTCCCACGTAGTCCATCTTTCATAGGCCCACAGAGATGGAAGTCTGAAGGTGCTAAATCGGGGCTATAAGTTGGATGTGGTAGGACAGTTCAGCCAAGCTTTGCAATGTGCGCAGTGGATGCCAAACTGGTATGGGGTCTAGCGTTATTGTGTTGCAAGCAAAAGGTTGTCTGCTTCTCTGGCTTGACTCAGGAAATGCGGGCTTTCAGCTTAGTCAGCGTCGTCTTGTAGCATTCAGAATTGACAGTCTCACCAGGCTCCAGGAAATCCAACAAAATTACACCCCGCCTATCCCAAAAGACCATGCACATCACTTTCCTTGCCGATGGCTGTCTTGAACTTCTTTTTTCTTTGGGGAATCTGGATGTCGCCACTTCATGGACTGTCTTTTGGATTTCGGCTCGTAGTGGTGACACCACATCTCATCTCTGGTGGCGATGCTGTCCAGAAACCTATCACCTTCAGCCTCAAACTGGTGCAACAGGTCCTGACAGAAATCCATTCGATGAGTTTTGTGGTCCTGTGTAAGCATCCACGGGACCCACCTGGAATAAACTTTGTGATAATCCAGTTTCCCCAACATCATTTCCAATGCATTACAGCCGATATTAAGCTGTGCACACAGTTCCCTGGCCGTTATCTGCCGATCTATATGGATGAGCTGATCGAGGTGCTGTTCATTATGAGGAGTGGCAGCTGAGCAGGGATGCCCATGGTGTGGCTTGTCGTGCACTTCACTTTCGCTATTGTTGAAACGCCTCACTGTGCTGACATCCACTGTATTGTCTCTGTACACCTTTAGCAAGCGTCGATCGATGTCAATGGGTGCAATTTGTTCGGCGTGAGACGTTCAATAACACATCTCTGTTTCGTACGCACTTTTATGTCAGACGCCATTTTGGTAGACTGCTCTGCTGTTGCTATCTGTCACATGACAACCAAACTAACAGTACATTGGTGGGAAGGTTCAACCTTTACTACACCACCACCAACATCCAGCTCAGACGTTACATATTAACACAAAAAAAAAAGGAGGCATTATATACAGAATGCCCTTCGTAAATGAAGTATGACGGGAGAAATAGTTTTGGCCAATTTAAAGTATTATTGTTAATGTTAATTAATTATGTTAATTGTGGGCCGGGATAGTGTAGTAAGTATAGTGACTAGCTCCGGGCTGGATGACCAAGAGGTTGGTGTTCGAGTCCCAGTAGGGTCAAGAATTTTCCCTTCTCCACATCATCCAGCCCGGCTCTGGGGTCCACCCAACCTCCTATCCAATGGGTAATGGGGGCTCTTCCCCGGGGATAAAGCGGTCAGGGTGTGAAGCTGACCACTCACTTCCAACTAGTGCCAAGGTCAAGAGAATGTGGATCTATACACCCACTCCTCCACACGCCTTCATGGTGTAGTGCTTAATTAGTTAAGCATAGGGACAACATTTTGATTTTAATTTGCAGGCTCAAACATATTAATTTATAATTACAATGTTTTCTGTTCATAGAAAATAGTATTTATCTCCATAATACTGTGGTAGTCACTAAACATTCTCAGCAGTCAGTGAGTTACTTCATGGAATGGAAGTAGATAATAAGCCTCAGAATTACTTTTTTCATATGTGAACTGAATACTACAAGTATACTAAGTGATTTGTGCAAAATGATAGATTTTACAGAAATTTCATAATTTTGTATACATCTTCAAATTTAAGTCTTTATAAACCTATGAATAAAGTGATTAATATTTGCAACAGAAATAGTAACAGCAGCCTTTTCTTAATGAATGTGTTGTGGCCTCATTATGACTTTCAAAGTTGAAAATTAAAGCTAAGAATGAGAAAATTTGTATGCAATTAATAACTATACAGCGTTCTGTGTCATTGCACATATGTGAGTGAGGGGTATGTGGCTGATTTAGAAAAAGAAATGTATGAAAACAATGTGCATGGGAATCTAACCAGTTGTTTTATCTTTGGCAGCACACAGGCGACATCCATCTTCATCTTTCATAAGACACAATCGGCATTTCTTATGCCCACAAGAGTCTTCAACTAAACGAGCATGTGGAGACTTGATAGGTCTATGACACTGTGGACAGGCTTCCATAATTCCTGTACTGAAATAATGAAATAATTCTATAGTGTTCAGTCAACCATATAGGCACTGCTGGGTTATTTTACTGGGGGGAGGGGGGGGGAATTGCCTAATTCATTCATTTATTTTACATTCCATAGATCCACAGTAGAATGGGTAGGATATGGAACACGTCAACTGGTACATATATAAAAGACAAATAAGCCAAAAAATAGAATAAAATAAAATGATGACAGAAATATAAAAAGTTCTATTACTAATAGTTTTAAAACTTTGTGACAATAAACATAGTTTATTAAACTATATATATATATATTCTTTGGTATGTCACGGACTTGAAATAGCCTTAAATTGAAGATATTCATCAGTGGAATAAAAATAATGTGTATAAAGAAAATGTTTTAGACAGGCTTCAAATTTCCTTGGATTATGAGATATATCTTTAATATGTGGAGGAAGATTGTTAAATACCCTAATACCCATACAGTACACTCCCTTTTTGTAAACTGTAAAATTTACTTAGGCAGATAAAAATTATTTGATTGTCTTGTACCTGTATTATGCTTTTCTGAATTTAAAATAAAGAGATCCTTGTTACTGACCATAAGCAACATGAGAGAAAAAATATATTGTGACGCAAGAGGCAAAATTTCCAACTTCCTAAACAAATTCCTGCATGAAGCCCTGCTCCTACAGCCCATCATAATTCTTATTATTCTTTTTTGCATTGTAAATATTTTAAAACTGTGGGGTGAATTTCCCCAGAACATTAAGCCATAGCTTATGATCGAATTAAAATATGAATAATAAATAATTTTCAGAACATTGAAAGACATATATGACTTAATACTCCTCATAATATAACAGGCTGAACTCAGTTTTGGGATAATACATTCAATATCCATGATATGTATACAGTGGCCGTCTTGTAGTGCACTCAATTTCACCTGTTACTTCACGACATGTTTTAGCAACATAGTGCCATCATCAGGTGCCCTAATTATGCTAACCTATTGCATTGCATGCCATTATATGTCTTTATAAAATTATTTTAAAAGTATTTAAAAAGTGCATATTCGTCAACTATAATAAATTTACACACACTAAAACTTGTTAAGATTATTCATCTTATGTGTCTTAATTAAAACTTGTGTGTGGTTCTTCCACTATGGGGGTCATTTTTCTTATATTCTGTGTAAACCTGCAACGTGAAAAAAGGTACTTATTATCTTCACTTTCAGCTTCTATCTGTTATGTGTTGTATTATAATGTTTAGTACTCACCGTGGTTTGTGATGTGTGTTCCCTTTTTAGCTGTGAGTGTTGTAATGTTGGATGTGTGTGTGTCTTCGTATTGATTGAGTTACGACGTGGTAGGGGTAGATGTGGTGGGGGTAGGTGGTGAGGTTCTGTTATGTTGTTCTGTGTAAATTGTGTGTAATTCCTGAAATAGTGGGTTATATATTTCCTTATTTATATTGTTGACATGTGTGTTTTTCTTTGTTGTTCTGTATATATGATATTTTTCTGATGTGTTTAAATATTATCCTTTCTTATTCGTTGCTATGATATCCATAGTATTTTCTATTGTACCATTTGTCAATTTGTCAATTTGGCAAAATATAGGAATGGGTTTATCACATGGCTGCAAGGATTTATAATGGACTTCCAAATACAATCAAAATAATCTCAAATAATGCAGATAAGTTTAAAGCCCGTTTAAAAGAGTTTTTATTTGTGAACTCCTTTTATACATTGGAGGAATATTTCAATAGATGACAATGGCAACGTTATGCAAAGGGTAATTTATATATTTAACTTTTTAATTAGATTTATATTACAAACATATTGACAACTGCTTGATTTATAAGCAAGATGAGTTTATACTACTAGACGATTTCTATATCTGCTGGTTGTGTAACCGTGTAAGGATTTTATGGAAAGAATGATGTGAAATTACCAAGTAACTTCATTTTATCTGTAATAATACTTCTTATCTGATTAGTTGTCAATATTATTATCCATATTACTTATAACCATTATATTATATTGTATATTGATTACTGTGATACTGTGTAAACTTTTAAACTTGTTTTATATTGCAAACATACTGACAACTGCTTGATTTATAAGCAAGATGAGTTCATACTACTTGACGATTTCTATATCTGTTGGTTGTTTAAACCATGTAAGGATTTAATGGAATGTGAATAAATGAATGAATGAATGAATGAATGAATGAATGCATGTCCTGTGTTTAATATCGTTCTGAGTATCCTGTATTGCTGTTATTGTGTCTTATATCATGCATGTGTTCTTTACATCTGGTATTAAATTTTCTCCCAGTTTGTCCCATACATTCCATGGGGCAATCTAGGCATTTCATTCTGTATATGCCACTTTTGTTATATTTACTCGTTTATGACCTCTCCAGTTCAATGAATCATTTATATTTATGCCAAGGGTCTTAATATTAGACACAGTTGTTACTGGTTGATTGTTATAAACGATATTTACATCAACTGTGGATTTCTTTTAGTTTTAAAATGAATACAATAAGTTTTGTTAACATTTACTGAAAGTAAATTTGTTTTGAACCACTTATTTACGCAAGTGAAGGTGTTAGACATCTTATTTCGAAAGTCCCCTAAGCTAGAACCTTTGACTAGTATGCTTGTATCATCAGCAAACAAAATAGGTATAGCATTAGTGTCTACAATTTTGGGCAAATCATTAATATAAATAGGGAACAACAGAGGGCCCAGAACTGATCCCTGTGGAACACCATCAGTTATCTTTTCCCACGTAGAAAGATTTATTAGATTTAATTCCTCATTAGAAACCTGAGTTCTCTTGTATCTGTTATTAAGATATGATTCAAACCATAACTTAGCTTTGCCATTGACACCATAAAATTGTAATTTAGAGATCAATATATCATGGTTTAAACAATCAAACGCTTTTTCAAGATAAAAAAAAAATACCACCTACTAGAGATTTACTATTTAAAGCTTGCAGGGTTTCATTAACTAACTTATATATGGCTTTGTTGATGAATCTGCTCTAAACCCAAACTGTTCTTATGCTAAAATACTGTGATTACACAAGTGCACCTGAAGTCGATTATACATGGCTTTTTCAAAAACTTCAGAGAAGGAACTTAACACAGATATGGGTCTATAGTTGGAAATACAAGACCTATCACCTTTCTTAAACAAAGGTTTAACTACTGCATATTTCAGATGATCTGGAAAAATTCCCAAAGATATCAATTTATTACAAATATAAGTTAAAGGCGAGCTAATAAAAGAAGAGCTTATTTTAAGTATCTTAGTAGATATTCCATCATACCCAGAGGAATTTTTGGGTTTAAAAGATTTTATTATATTTTCAACTTCTTTAGACGATGCAAATTTTAGTTTGATGTTTGGAAACCTCCCTCGTTGGTGTCTCCACCTTATCGTGGTGAGGGGGTTTGAGTATGCCAAGGACCCTGAGAGCTATACCAGCGGTAGCGTAGCTACTGGCAGGGCCTCCCTTGCTGGACAGGTCAAAGGGTAGGCATCAGACGAAGAGAGACACCAAAAACTGATGCCGGAAGCAGCGTCATCAGTAGCGACTTGAAGCACAGAGCAAATGATGCTCGAGATGGTTCAAGTTCGTATAGCAGCAGGCGTGACCAGAGTGGTTTGAACGGCTGCTGTACTGCGATGTGGAAAGCAAATGGAAAAACTACCACATTATCACTTTTCCTGGATAGTCTCTTTCCAAAAACAGAGATACCATATATGCGAGATGTTTCCTCTGGAGGCAAAACAATCCGGAGGTAAACTACTCCCCCAATCGGATCTCCGGGGGGGAGTGTTTCTAGAGGAAATGTCATGCAGGCGTTACAACAAGAAAAAGTGCGAAGATCAGAAGAAACAGCATGGATACAAGATTGGAACATGGAATGTCAGGACCTTGAATCAAGCAGGAAAATTGGAGAATTTGAAAACGGAAATGCAGAAGAATGAAGTGTCTGTGCTAGGTGTCAGCGAAGTGCGGTGGAAAGGACAAGGTGAAATAAGAAGCGGTGATTATACAGTGTATTATTCCGGAGGTGAACGGGCTGAAAGAGGTGTGGCAATAGTGGTGCATAAAAGTGTAGTGAGGAGTGTTGTTAAGAAGATTGCTTGTAATGACAGAATTATTGCTCTGAAGTTAAAGGCGGAACCGGTAGATATACTGATTATACAAGTGTACATGCCAACATCAGAGTATGAAGATGATGAAGTGGAAAAAGTGTATGACACAATTGAAGAAATTCTTCAGGAAGATGGAAGAGGAGACACAAACAGCATCATATTGGGAGACTGGAACAGCATTGTTGGAGATGAACCATATCAGAATATTGTTGGATCACATGGACTAGGAAGACGGAATCACAGAGGTCAAATGCTTATTGACTTTTGTGAACGAAATGGATTGATTGTTACCAACACTTGGTTCAAGAAGCCAAAGAGAAGAATTTACACATGGAAGGCACCTGGGGATTGGAAGAGGCATCAGCTGGACTACATCCTTGTGAAACATCGATTCAGAAACAGTGTGAAGGATGTGAAGACGCTTCCTGGGGCAGACATTGACTCTGACCACAACTTGCTGGTTGCCAAGTTCCGAACCAGGTTGAAGAAAATTATAGGATTTCGAAAGCGCAGACCCAGATGGGATTTGGAGAAGTTATATGCTCAAAGACAAAGCGTGCAAGAGACTCTAGAAGAGAAACTCGGTGCAATTGAAGGTGAAAGCGGAAATGCTGAAGCGCAGTGGAACGATATAAAAGAATGCATGTTAGATACTATCAGTGATTTGGTAGGTAAAGTTGAGAAGATAGCAAGAAAACCATGGGTTACACAGGAGATGATGAGTAAAATGGAGGAGCGAAGGAAATGGAAGAATGTCAACAATGAAGAAGGCAGGAGGAAATACAGGAGACTGAGGAATGAATTGAAAAGAGCCACGGACAGGGCCAAAAAGGAATATCTTGAGAAGATATGTAATGAGATTATGGAATTTCAAAGAACAGGCCGTTATGATTTGATGTACATGAAGACAAAAGAACTAGGATGGAAAGAGAATCATGGGATTCAAAATGTTGGCATCGAAGACTCCCAGGGGAATAGAATAGTAGATCAGAGGCAAGTGCTGAAAATTTGGGAAAATTATATTTCAGAACTATATGATCGACCTAATCGGCCAGAAACCTTAGAAGTTGAACCGGAAGAAGAAGTAGATACAGACGAGAAAGGACCATATATTTTACAAAGTGAGGTGGAAAAAGCTATCAAGGAAATGAGGAAGGGAAAGGCTACAGGAGATGATGATGTACCTGGAGATGTGCTCAAGTTACTGGGAGAAGGTGGTTTGAAAACACTGACAAAACTAATGAACACCATATATGAAAGTGGAGAGTGGCCCAAGGACTTTACAGAAGTTACAATGATTGCCTTAAAGAAAAAGACAAAAGCTACAAAATGCAGCGACCATCGCACAATAAGTCTTATTGCACATACAGCAAAGATAATAGCAAAGATACTTAAAAGAAGAATTGAAAGGAAAATAGAGGATGTACTTGGAGAAGATCAGTTTGGATTTAGAAGAGGAAAAGGAACCAGGGATGCAATTGGGATGATGAGAATTATAGCGGAACGAACTTTGGAGATAGATGAAGAACTGTGTGTTTGCTTCATAGACTGGCAGAAGGCATTTGACCGGGTAAACTGGACCAAATTAATGCAGATCCTGAAAGAAACAGGTATCGATTGGCATGAAAGAAGATTGATTAGCAAATTGTACATGGATCAGAAAGTTAGAGTACGACTGGACAGGGGGGAGACAGGAAGTGTGCAGATTGGAAGAGGAGTTCGACAAGGATGCTGTTTATCACCAATTCTGTTCAACTTGTACAGCGAATGCCTTACCAAGGAAGCTCTGGATGGGCTCGGTGACTTCAAAGTAGGAGGGCAAATTATTCAAACTGTGAAATATGCAGATGACCTTGTGTTAATGGCTAAGGAAGAAACTGTGCTACAGGGCATGATTGATAGACTAATTGAAATTGGAAGGTGCTATGGCATGGAAATGAATGTGGAGAAAACAAAAGTAATGAAAATTTCGAGACAACCAACCCCAGTCACAATAAAGATAGACCAAAAACAAGTGGAGAATGTGAAATGTTTTAAATATTTGGGTAGCTTGTTAACAGATGATGGAAGGTGTACTTGTGAAATTAAATCCAGGATTGCCATGGCAAAAGCTGCATTTAGCAAGAAGAAGAATCTTTTTACCAGCAAATTGGACTTAAATTTGAGGAAGAAACTAGTGAAATGCTACATTTGGAGCATAGCTCTGTATGGGGCTGAAACATGGACACTTAGGGCAGTAGATCAGAAACATCTGGAAAGTTTCGAAATGTGGTGTTGGAGAAGAATGGAGAAGATCAGTTGGACCGATTATGTGAGAAATGAAGAAGTGTTAATTAGAGTCAGTGAGCAGAGGAATATCCTACATGAAATAAGAAAACGGAAGGCTAATTGGATTGGTCATGTTTTACGCAGAAACTGCCTTCTAAAAGAAGCTATCGAAGGAAAGATAGATGGGCGGATAGAAGTGACAAGAAGACGAGGAAGAAGACGTAAGAAGATGCTGGATGACCTTGGGGACAGAAGAGGATACTGTCATTTGAAGGAGAAAGCTCTAGATCGCATTAAGTGGAGGAATTGTTTTGAAAGAGACTGTGGACCTGTCGTCTTGACAGATTACTGATGATGATGTTTGGAAACAGAGTCTTAAAAGACTGCGATAAGTAATGAAGAGGAGTAATATTATCTGGGTTATGAAAGCTAAGTTCGTCATATTTATTAATATTTTTTGCTATAAATGAAAAATATTTATTAAACTCATTTGGTATCACTTGGTGGTTATTGACCAGAGTCCCTTCAATATTTAAAGTAATAATCTTATCTGTATTTCTTGCTTTGTTGGTTTCTGATTTAACTATATCCCAGATGGTTTTATTCTTGTTCAGGGATTTACTAATTTTGTCTGCATAATTAAGTATTTTTGCTTCCTTGATGACAGCAGGTAAAATTTTACAATATTTTTTATAGTAGTTTAAGAGATCTCGATTATTACTGTCCCTACATGCTATGAAAAGTTCTCTTTTATGTTTACATGAGGTTAGAATTCCCCAACTAATCCAATTATTACTATTCTTTTTCCCAATACTGACTCTCTTTAAAGGAAAGCTAGAGTATAAAATTTTCAAATTGGATTCTAGGAAGGAATTGTACATTTCATTGACATTATCTGTGGAGAAAACAGTATCCCAAGTTTCATAGCTTAATTTAAGGAGAAAGTCATTTATTGTATATTTGTTAATGTTTCTATTCAGCACAAATTTTTTAGTGGGTGGCCTTAGACTAAAGAATGTAATGTTATAGTCTGGGCATCATGATCTGAAAGCCCATTTATTATTGGATTTATGGAATAATTTCCACCCTTGGTAACATCGATAAAAATATTGTCAATAGCTGTGGCAGAATTATGTTGAATGCGAGTTGGAAATTTAACTACACTCATTAAATTATAAGTTTTGAGCAAGGCTTCCAATCGACTTTCTCTTTCACTGTCAACTAAATAATTTATGTTTAAGTCGCCACAAACAATGCCTTATGTTTAAGCTGTTTCAGAATATTTTTATACAAAATGTGATCAAAATCATTTTTAATAATATTTGGTACATTTCCTTCTCTTATTTAAATTTTTGTTTTTTCTCAAAATTAATTGGGGGGGGGGG